TTGTTGGAGAGAATTCCTTGTGAGTGGCTTGGGTTCGTGAGTACGTTCATAAGGGTGTAGATGTATGGCGAGTGGTTAGCAAATCTAACTTCAGTTGGGGTCTGAGGAGAATTCTGAAGATGTATGGCGAGCGGTGCCCTCCGAAAACGCGATTGTGACCGCGATTTAAATCTCTGGACATTTGGTGGTGGCGTGAGATTTTGTGTCGTAATAGACTTCACTAAAGTACAGATGGCCGTCTTCCTCCATTGACTGGTTACAAAATACAGGTAGTAGCATGCTTCTACAAACTACAATGAGTTCTGTTCAAAGGAGGAAATATACTCCGAACCCCAGGTTTACAATTTCGAGATGGATTTCACGTTCAACTCATGGAGAAAACTAGAACGGAGTAACTACACCAACACTAGGCAGAAAACATTGTTAAGCAACGTCAGGATATCTGCAAAGAAGCAAAACACCAAAAAGATTCCAGCTTAGCATCTCACTAGTCACTGTTGTTTTAACCTATTTTTCCTTGGACTGAAGAAGAAGATAACAATCATCAGTACATCTTCACATTGGAGAAAGTAGAGAATCCATTATGACGGTCATTTCTCCAACAAAGACTAAATCACAGTTTTACCAATGCCTTATATGCATATTTTGCAATCCCATCATAACAATTGCAATATTGTAATTTGTAAATGTTTAAAGCTTTGTCCTATCTTTTTCCTTTATAAATATTTTCTTTTTCTTAGAATTCTACTGAATGAATCTTGAGGAGGTTCTTAGATTTCTTTCCATGTGCTTGAGTCGAATTCTCCATTTCTCTTCACTTCGACAAGTTGAGTGGAAATTTGGGACACATTTTAGGGTTTCCAGGAGAAGCTTTTGAGATTCTTGAGTCGAATTCTCCTTTTCATTTGGATTTAGGACTGGGGTCAACCCATAGCCATAGACTTTGACCGAAGAAGAAAAAGAAGAAGAGGAGGAGGAGGAGGAGGTTTTAATGGGAGTTAATTTCTACGTCAGTAAAAACTAACGAGCGACATAGATCTTACTGAAAACGAACTAAAAGTTCGATGACTGTACTGCAAGTTTCAAAAGTTGGGTGACCAAAATGTAAGCTCCATAAAAGTTTGGAGACTATTTATATACTTTACCCTAAAAGTAAATAATATTAAATACTTAACATATTTTATGATACATTTTTATATATTGTATCACTTTTACATATTATATTAATAATAATATCAACTGAATTAAATTTAATATATGTAAATATAATTATAATTTATTATACAAAAATATAAATACGAGGTTAAATTTATTTGTGTAAATATAATTATAATTTTTAGGCTGTTAGGTTTTAATGGATTTCAATATGATTTTATAGAACTGAAATTTTTTTAAAATTTGAATTTAAATCGGATTAGATTGAATTGAGTTTATGATGAAAAACTTTCGATCTAAAATAATAATATAATCATATCTCATATATTTAGAGATAATTACAATAATATTATCTCGTCGTATTTTTCAATTAAATCTATGTTACACTGTCCATAATTACTTTTTTTTATATATATTTAGTTATATTGAATCGAAACATATATATATATATATATATTTAAATTAAAAAAAATCAAATCAAATTTCAAATAAGCTAAAGCCCAACTTAACCCAAATTATGATTCTTCAGTAAAATTGACCCAATACTGTAGAGGGACTAATTACTTAGTATAATACAACACAAAACAAATTATTTAGAATTTATGACATTTATTGCAGTGACTTATAACTCGTCACGTTGAGTTTGAATAAAAATATTATTTGAATAAATTTATCACTGTAACATGACGAGATTGTCATACAGTGTAACATTTACCGGTAAAATACATTATACGGCATCGGCATCGTCATCGTCATCGTTTTCCAGTTTCCGAAGGCAATCTTTTCTACCATTTCCCTTCAGAGACCTAAATGAATTGCCTGCATGCATTAGAGGCACTGCAAATAGTATATTTTTAAGTATGTTATGTTGTACCCTTGGTCTATGAAAATTTGCCATCCCTTCTTCCTTCCAACTGCTAAAACATAGCCACAGGTATGAAAACTGGAGCTCTCGATCGAGCAGTTCGAACTTCTTAGAATTTCAGAAACAGTTCTTTTGTAGTGCAACTCATTGACAACTTTGAGATCCAAAGAGCTTAGTATCATGTGATCGCCTTCATGGAGTCCTTTAAATCGAGAATGGCTTAGGCTTACCCGCTTGGAAGAAGTGCGGCCTTTTCTCGAATACTAAAGTCATCATTAAATGCCAACTTTGAACTTGAGAAGCAACACCCTTTGCATCTTCCAGCATGGAGGAGTCATCCATCTGGTGATTTTGTTCGCCGCCATTCGAACACACGTCAGGGGAACCGATATCGAAATCGCCATTGATACTTCCTTGAAATTCGTTGAATTTCTCGAATTTGATTTCCTTAGTAGGGGAATAGAGGTTCTCCAAGTCCAAAAAATCAACTATTTCGTGGTTGACCTTGGCACATATAGGATCTTTGTCATCATCTGCATTATGATGGGCAGAGGAAGATTTTTCGGAACAAACCGGCTTCAAGAAGTCCAGCAAGGAAGCTTTAACATGCTGATGCAGATTCGGGTCCTCCGGCACCTCGAGAATTAACAATTTTCAGAGAAAATGACAAGTATACCATAATTGCTTGATTCCTTGATAAATTTATGGCTACATTTATCTTTACATAATGAACTCAAATCTATCAGCTTCGATGTAAGAAAGAACTTACTAGTTCTGTCAGCCAAGCTCGATAACACCTCCGAGGTAGGGAAAACATACCACAGTCTGCAAATTGAAAAATAATAGTCAACGAATCCGCATAGGACAATCAGACGGCTAATCTTACGACAATCTTACCTAAATAGATGCACTCTAAGGGAAATGATGAGCATCAAGTCATGTAAAAAGCAAGTTCACAGGTAAATAATGTCAGTCAATTGGCAATCTTATGCTGCAGTTGTTATATTGTACCAGTTTAGGGGGAAAAGTCAACCTTAGCAAGCAAAGACCGGCAGAATATTTTACTATCTGCATACTGAGCATTGCATAACCACATGGTTTCACCACTTTCAAGTGATTTTCCAGGCAAACTATGCAACAATGTAAAACAAGACCGGATAATAAACAGAACACCATGAACAACATACATTAGAGAGTTCCTGAGTATTACCCTTGTCCGGCATCGAATACGAACAACGTGCAGATCAAGTAATACCACTCGGTATTGAACAAATCCTCCGGCAAAAACGCGGCAGAAGGCCTTTTATTTTGATCAGTTTCACCTTCCAACAGAGAATTATAAAGCTCCCTCAGTTGTTCACTCCCATGTAGACCAATTTTGTCTGCTTTAAGCTCCAATGCTTGCACTGTTTTCCTAGTCTTGATGTCTCCATTGTAGTAACCTCCCCATTGAAGCTCCCTGGTGGATTATCAATCAAAGTTAAAAGAAAGACTTGCAAAAATCTGGTTAAATTCGATGAATTCGAATGCGAAAAATGCCCTTGCTGTGTAGCTGATGAAGACCAGAAGATTGCATAGCTCCATTGGATGCTCCTTACGGCCACTGCAAGTTGTTTCGTTAAGTTTTCTAGAACCCCACCAAGGTGGTTTATAGCAGCATTAGCCATTTGACTGGAATTTTCAACTGGAAAAATGTAGAAAAACCATTAACACAAAAATCGAACCCCAAGCTGTGACTGTTCTTTTCTCAGCTAACCAGGGTAAGATTTCTTTGCTTTCAGCAGACCGGATATGTCCAAACTGAAAAGGCCAAGACAGGACTGAAGACAATTGTTGGAGCTTATAATATTTCTTTCTTTTTTTGTTCTTTGTTTTTAAGATTGCAAGGCCAAGAATCTTTGAATGCAATAAAAAGAGAGTGCAGAATAATATGGTCACATGTTTTTAAATAAAGGCTTAATGTTCAAACTAGGCCTTTTATGTCAAATAATTGTCTACATTTTTTTCTATCCGAGTACTTAATGTTACAAACGTTAGCACTCTATGTGCCCGGATCGTCAATGTCACTAGTTTTCTCCGTTAAATGACATGTGTCATAACTTGGTAATTTTAAAATTTTTATATAAAATTAAAAAAATAAAATTATATATATTTTTAAAAAGAAAAATATAAATTTTGAAATAACCCATAAACTTTAAAAACTTTCATTTCAACTCCTAAACCCACGCCTACAGTTGCTCTTTGCCGTCGAAGAAACTCCACCCTACCTCCCGTCCCCCCGGTGACCAAAACCTCTATGAAGTCGTGATCGATTGACGATCGATTGACGACAAATCGACGTTTTAAATCCCTCAAACCCTAGAATGAAAATTGTGATATCATGCGATTCCGATGGTTAATTGGCCATAACTACGACGGCATATAACTAGGATGATGGCAAGGATTACGTCGGAGGTAGTGATTGTGGCCAGAGAGGGTTGTTACGGAGGATTAAGGTTAAAATTTGAGATTTTTGAGTTGTTTTATAATATAAGAAAAGTTGGAATTTTTGGGGAGTATGTTTTTATATTATGGATGTGATTTATAATATCATGATGAACTTGAAAAATATTACGATACGATTATTACGTTGTATTACGATCGTAATTTAATATTATATTTTTTGGAAAGATATACTTTTCTAAATTTAACATGATATAGTATTTTTTAATGAGAATTAACATAATTTAATATTATGATGGTTATTTTATAATAAAAATATATATAACAATTTCGGCTATTTATTCGTAATATTTCTAATGAAAATTATGTAAAATGTGTTTTGTAAAGCGGTTTTTATAACTGGACTTTAGCACGAATCACAGGTCACTGGCCCAAATCTTGTGTCCGATTGGGTCTATGAGCCATCAAGAAACGCCCATGACATGTTTCACACGTGTTTCCTCACATGTCTATCGATCTCGCTCAGCGACAGCGTTAATACGCTATCTCACACACGCCCCATTCGTGCCAAGCCCTGAACTTCACACACATACACGCTCTTCAACCCCGCACACGCGTGAAACCTTATCCGTCACGCGCTCCCCTCTCTCTTACTCACGCGCCCCCGTACCCTACCCGGAAATAGCCCTGTTCTCCACCCCTACTTCCTCTCTGCTACCATTTAGCGTCTCCGGGGAACAGTCTTCTTAACCAATCTGGAGATGGCTCCGGCTGCCGGGAATATTGGTCTGTTCGCATAAATCAGTCCGTTGGGGAGGAGAACTTGGAATTCGGATAGACGAAGAAGGACTGGGGATATTCCGGATCTTCATTTCAGGAAAATTGAAGATTTGCGTGAGAGTTACTGGAGAAACTGAGGCACTGCTTTCAAGGTAATGTTCTTGGGATAAAACTTTCAAGCTGGGCTTGGCCATGTTTGTTTTTAGTCGATTAGTTCTCCAATTCTTTTGGGGAACTTGTTTTTCTTGAAGTTCTAGAGTGAATCCTTCCTAAGTTTGCCTAGGATTAACGGCTAATTTACCACTGAGAACTCTGTTAAGTACTTAATTCCCTTCATGTGATTGCTGAGGAACTGTTGTATAAGTGAAAGAAGATAAAATAAAGAAAAATTTACTCTTCTTTTGTTTTGGTTTTTGTTGTATTAATTTTTCATGGAGGAAAAATTAAAATCCAATCCAAATAATACAAGCAGTTCGGCAGTTCCTTAACTTGACAACTTTACGGGGATATTTGATATTTCTAGGCCTAAGAAGCCTATTAGGTGCCTTATAATAATTGTTGTTATTATCTTGGTCACTGTATAAAGGAAATGTAGAATTGCAAGGTTGAACTACATTTAATTGGCGAGTCCTTTCTCCTTCTGTGAAATGATATGAATAAAGTTTTTATTTAACAGGAAAATGGGACAGAAATCAGCAGATCTGGTTGTTCCATTGTAAGAGAAATCTATGCAGAGAAGTTATATTCCTGAGGTATTTTGGAGTTAAGGGCTCTGGATTAGAGTGGAAATTATGGCCACTGATATGCAGAACCTGATAGGAGCTAATGAGGAAGATGATGAAGAGGAAATTGACATGGATGTAAAAGATGAGGATAATGAGGATCAGGTGAATGGAGAGAAGCATAGTGCTGCACAGATGATGTTGGGAGCTGATGGAATGATGACGAGTGCTAGTGGCCAGTTTCAAACCCAGCCGCAACTTCAAGAGCAAGTCGGCACCCCAGGTGGAGGAGCTCGGAGATCAAGACCACTAGAAGAAAAGGAGCGAACAAAACTAAGAGAGCGGCATCGAAGAGCTATAACAGCAAAGATCTTGGCAGGGTTGCGGAAGCATGGGAACTATAACCTGAGGGTTAGAGCTGATATAAATGATGTGATTGCAGCTTTGGCCAGGGAAGCTGGCTGGGTTGTTCTCCCTGATGGAACCACTTTTCCATCCAAATCTCAGGTGCTTTTGAATGCATGGATTTTATCTCTTAGATTGAACACTTAGTTCATTCAATATGTACAGCATTGAGATGTTGCTAATTCAATAGGTTCATAAAATTTTCGATTGATAAACTTTAATCTTGCATTATATATGCATATTAATTGTTTCCCTACACAATATTGATGGTGCATTAGACATTGAACTACAACTCCCTTTAATGCTTCTTTGATCTTTTTATTCTGATGAATCTACGGTAAATCCAATTGGGAATATTCTCTCTTTGCAGGGTTCAAAGCCTGCTGGTGGCACTTCTGCAGGCATGACTTCGTCCTCCTCTCAGATGCTGTCACAACAGGCTCCACCTACCTCCTTGCACGGAGTCTCCTCTCGACATTGCACCTCAGTAGAGTACAATGCTTGTCATATGAAGGGTGTTTTCTTGCCTACTCCTTCACTTTATGATCTATCCCCAAGTGCCCATTCTCGAAGTTCAGACATGGTTGGAGATGGTGAAGAACAAACGGAAAGTCTTCCTCTTATTGCTGGCTCCGTGGAAGCGATTAATGACAAACAGGTATGCGAGGGTTATATAAGGCACATGCGAACAATGACCTGTTCCTTTCAGGTTGTTGATTTGTTTATACCAAATGATGTTTGGAAATTGGATATGCCATGCGTTGTTAGCACTCGTGTGTCAAAAAATATAATTGATCCATATTTATATTTAAACGATACAGTCTCCCCCCAAAAAATAATTAAATGATATGATGTGTTTTTTTCTGATAATTTTATGTGCTTATTTTCTCTTCTAACCTACAATCTTTACAGCTTATTGGACTTCCTCCTAAGCTACCAGAACGTGATTTTGCTGGCACTCCATATGTTCCAGTTTGTGTAATGCTACCAGTGAGTTTTCTAATTTGAGTTGCTTCCTCTATATTTACATTTGCTCATAATTACTCTCAAACACTTTATAGCCTTTTTGTTAAACGAGGATGTGTAACTCTTTTTCTGTTTCCCTCAGAGTTTGGGTTTTCTGATGCTGAAATGTTTCTCCAAGCCAACGCAATGCCAAATTTCTCAATTTTTAAGATGCTTTCTTAGTTTCAGTCAAATGATTTACTTCAATTGTGTTAGGTGTTTCTGGTTTGTTGTAATGGTGTTTCTCCATATGAGAATATTCCGTGTTTTCATATGTATTCGATATTATTATTAATAAACTATGAGGTACTCTTTTCTTCCTTCCAATGTTCGTTAACATACTTATTAGTATGTGGACGAATACAAAGGGAGTTTTTAATGGGGCCTCCAACTTCTATAAAAAATTTACTTCGATTGTGGCAGTTGGGGGTCGTCAACATGAAGTGTGAGCTAGTTGATCCAGACAGACTACTAAAGCAGCTAAGAGTATTGAAATCAATCAATGTAGATGGAGTCATGACTGACTGCTGGTGGGGAATAGTGGAAGCTCATGCTCCTCAAGAATATAACTGGAATGGTTACCGAAGGCTCTTTCAGATGGTTCGTGATCTTAAGCTTAAGTTGCAGGTTAGTTTTTAATTGGGAATTTGTATATGGTCTAATGGTTTCTCATTGACTGAGGTGGTACTCAATATCTGTATTTGACATCTGTTATGGTAAAGGCCTTTATCGTATGTTCTATCTTTGATTTCATTCCATGTATTTACTTGAGTTATTTGTTAATATGAGAATAAGATTTGATAGGCCCCCATTGTTTAGGCTGATCTTATCCCCCAAGTGTACTATAGTTCAATTCACCCTGAAAGTTAGTCAAAAGCCTCTTTACTTGCCTTTTTATCTTGCAAAGTTCGTCTAGATGTCAGCTTTAGCTGATTGTTGTGCATGATGAGTATTTGATGTACTTTTTGAATCTCTATGTGTGTCAAGATGCCTGTGTACTGCATGGCAGAGTAATATGCCTTTGGTGAATGCTGTTGTGATGCAATTTGTGAAAAAGTACACCAATGTAATTGATGTTTGTATTATGCAGTGGTATGCCTTTGGAGGGTAGGTTGCAGTTAGGTTTACTTCATCGTAGAACTTGGGTCAAACTTTTGAATGTTGGAAGGAAGTTCAAAATTTCAACATCTTACTATTAACAGAATAAAACAATCCAAACACCTAAAACTTAATTCAGATTAATAGCTCTAACAATTTAGGACTGGCATGCTTATTGTTAAGGTGTCTGAGATAAGTGAATTTGCCATTTGTAGATCATAAAGTTTCTTTTTTAAATGATGCTTGGCTTCAGATATGGGATAGGTATGATGCACCATTTTAATTTTATCTGTCCCAAGTGTAACAGTTATCTTATTGATGGATCAGGTTGTGATGTCGTTTCATGAATGTGGTGGCAATGTTGGTGATGATGTTTGCATTCCACTGCCCCATTGGGTTGCAGAAATTGGTAGAAGCAATCCTGACATATTTTTCACAGATAGAGAAGGAAGAAGAAACATGGAATGCCTCTCATGGGGAATCGATAAGGAGCGAGTTTTAAGGGGCCGAACTGCTATTGAGGTATTAGTTTTTGATATAGCTTTCAATACCATCATGTACATCATGCAAATTCCTCTGTTGTAAATCACCAAATTCATTTGTGACCAACAGAAGCTAGTTTTATTAATAAGTTCTGACTATATAATTGGTAATGGATTTGGGTTTTATCTCATGTTAAAATCAACAGGGATACAAAACAAAGTGACTTCAATTTGCTATTTTCTGATATTTACTTTTGAGGGATACCGTAAACAGATATGTTATGCTAACTTGATTTGCTCTTTCTTTCCTTCACTGGCATGCTAGTATTTCCTTAAAGGATGGGCTTTTTGATGTTTTTTTGTTGGGAAACATAGGTATACTTTGATTTCATGAGAAGTTTCCGAGTGGAATTTGATGATTTTTTTGTGGACGGTATCATATCCATGGTTGAAGTTGGACTAGGTCCCTGTGGGGAGCTACGATACCCATCTTGTCCAGTAAAGCATGGATGGAGATTTCCTGGGATTGGGGAGTTTCAGGTAATTGTTATTACAACTCGACTATCAACTTGTGCATTGTTTAAAGCTATCATATTCTCACATTATTTGATGGCTGCTTATTTAGCTTATTGTGCTTGGAAAAATTGACAGAATTTTGCTTGTAACATCTGATTCACTAGTTCAATTTTTTAAACCTAAATGTGATAGCTGATTTTAAGTCTCTGTTATATAGTTTAATATACGACTTTGCTGCTTTATATATGTATTGCCAGTCCTACATGCTTCAATCAGATACATTTCTTAATTTTCATGCACCTGGAAACTTAGCCTACATCTTTGCTCCCTCTGTTGTTCTCTCACCCCAATTATGTCTACTGTCTAGAAGTAATAAAAAAGGTGATTAATCATGTTTTCTAGGAACCTTTTAGAAGGTATGCTCAGTGTTTGAATCTAACCCACTCGCGGGAAAAGTTGGTTTCCTTGCAGGTGATCTATTGAACTTTAGTGCAAGTAATCTCATCATGATTTTAGTATTGCTCCATTGCTAGCCTAGCAAGTTTGGGTTCTCTTTTATTTTTTTGCTCATATTGTGTTCCTTGTACAGTATGTTTGCTTGTTTGTGTTCTTGTCACCCCAACTGTGCCAAGAGCATTAGTTTCTTGTTCTCCTCTGGGCATCATATAGCTCTTTGCTTTTCCAGTGTTATGATCAGTATATGTTAAAAAGCCTGAGGAAGGCAGCAGAAATGAGGGGACAGAGCTTTTGGGCTAGAGGGCCAGATAATGCCGGATCATATAATTCACACCCACATGAAACTGGTTTCTTTTGTGACGGAGGAGACTATGATGGTTACTACGGAAGGTTTTTCCTTAATTGGTATTCTCAGATATTAGTCAATCATGGAGACCTGGTACTCTCATTGGCAAAATCAGCTTTTGAAAGCACTTGCATTGCAGTAAAGGTGAGTCAGCTTGCAATGATATGTCTTACACCCGACTGAGTATTTTCTTATTACCCTCTAAAATTGATTTTATGATTCATTGTTTGGACTGATAGCAATCTCCTTTTTCTTGACCCCCACCCTGATGCTTTTTCAAAAGTGTTGTCCTTTTCAATCCTCAAACCCCATCAAGCCCGGTGAACTTAGAAGTACTCTAAGATTCAGTTCTTGTTTCATGTCTTAATATCAAACAGTTTGAACATGCTATTGTTGTTTTAAGAGTACTCTCTAGCTTGAGTGTTTAAAGCAACTGTCGGCAATGAAGATTTTAATTGATATGGTATCTTATTCAAGTTCGATTCTTATATCAAGAACTTGGTTGTGTAATCAAATTCAATGAGGGTAAGTTGTTGTATAACATGCTCTCACGTTTTCCTTTTTTTCTGCCTTTTGAAATGCTATGTATCCATTTTTTGTCAAGATCATTTTAATCTGCAAATGAATAGTAACTCCCCCTTCCTCTCGTCTTTCTCTTTCCATTTCCTGTGTATTTTTTCCCCTTGATTTATTTAGAAGTTTCCTCCTGCTGTTAAGTTCAGTTGAATGCAAATTTTATTACCTTTTGAAAACTAATTTTAAAAGTTGCTTCAAGGTATGTAGTACTATTTTCTTTCCATGTTTTAATTGCTGCGCAGCTGCCAGGTATTCACTGGTTGTACAAAACGTCGAGTCATGCTGCCGAATTAACGGCTGGATTCTACAATCCCTGTAATCGGGATGGTTATGTTGCAATTGCTGAAATGCTACATAAGCATGGAGCTGCTTTAAACTTTGCATGTGCTGAACTTCACACCTTAGAGCAGCGTGAAGACTTGCAGGAAGCACTGGCAGATCCTCAAGGTTTAGCCTGGCAGGTGAGATTTTTGGAGTTCCTAGCAAACCTTATTATTTACTTGCTCTCACGTTTTACTTCTCTTCTGGATGAACTCTCTTTTCTTTGAAAAATATTACTATAAATCCGATTGTTATATTCTTCATTCAAATCCAGAAAGCTTAGTAATTGTCCGTTTTAGGTGCTGAATGCAGCATGGGATGCATACACTGTGGTTGCAAGCGAGAATGCTTTTCACTGCCATGATAGAGTAGGCTATAGCAAAATATTGGACATTGTGAAGCCAGTAAATGATCCAGAAGGGAGACATTTCTCATCCTTTACTTACCTTAGGCTCACCCCACTTCTCATGGAGAGACACAATTTCGCAGAATTCGATCGGTTCGTTAAGCGGATGCACGGTGAGTTGCTGAATCTATTTTCACTTCTGAACAAACTTCAGTTTCACTTCATAGTCTCTGAGGCAATTTATCATACTAAGTAAAAGATCAGATAGAGCAAGACAATGGCATGGGGGAAACTGATTGACTCTTCTTGCTGCAGGGGAAGCAGTACTAGATCTCCATGTTTAATAGCAGCAACGAGTTGAAAATCTCTGAAAGTATTGTCATGTATCATTTCATTTTCCCCTCCCGCAACCAATGCTGCCTGTAATTGGGGAAATGGTGTTCTTATTTTTAGTTTATTTAACAAACGCATGTAAATGATACCATGGATTACAATGGTGCAAAAATTTTATTTTTTTTTCTTTTTTCCTTAAACTCATTAATTTAAATTTAACTATTTTTTAAAAATAATGGAGATGCACTTGACCGTATGGGGCTTAGTTCATCCGTCACTAGTTTCATATATATATATATATGCAGTTTTTGAATTGTTTGTGATTTTGTAAACCTGTTTAAAAATCTGGATCTGTTTTTTATCTATAAATTATCCGAATTAAATATCAGAATTAATTGTATTAATGTCTCTAAATTATGTCATTGATTTATATTAACCCTTAAAATTTAAAATATATTGAATACCCGAATAAATTGTACTAATGTCTCATATTTAATGATCCAATGATAAAAGTTAAAAAAATTAAAAGGAAAAATTGTTGGAAGTTTATTTTTTTTGGATAATTCAAATTTTTTATTACCCAAAGGCAGTAAACTGCACAAAACAATAGAGTTAGAAATACAAGAAACATCCAAAAAAACATAAAGGCAATTAAGCCATCATACAATACCCCATTGGTTACAAAGATTAATATTAACATAGCCTAATCTACTAATATTTCTACCCCTTAGATGAAGACCAACCAATTCCTTAATAGCATTGAACATTTCTTCAATAGTAGAAGAATGGCTTTGAAACAACCTCTTGTTTCTTTCCTTTCATATAGTGTAAATCAAGGCATTAGATGCAACTTTCATGATGGTAGTTAGTAGGGATTTACCCTTCCAACACGCATCAGCCCAATCGAATAGAGCATCCCAAGAAGGATGTCTAAACCGTAATCCATTAAGAGAAAATAAAGTAGACCATAGGGTGGAAGCAACAGTGCACTCAAAGAAAATATGGTCTCTAGTTTCCATAGCAGCAGCACAAAAAATACAGTTTATGTCATTAACAATCCCCATTTTATGAAGCCTTTCTTTCGTAAGAAGACAGTCAAGAAAAGCCATCTAAACTATAAGGCTATGCTTAGAAATGAGACGAGGGAACCAAAGTAAAGAGTGCCATTGAACTTTATGATTTTTAACTCTAATTTTGTTCCAGAGGATATTAACATTTGGAGAATGAGAAGACAAAATAGAGGAAGCTTCAGTCCTCAATTGTTGGAAGTTTAATACTAAAATTGAAGTATTTTAAAACTTAGTGTCCTATTCGATACACAGACTAAAGTTCAGTGATTAAGGCGAGAGTTTACCCAAATATAAATAAACATCCTAATATTTTTCTTCCGTTCTGCCGCGCAGAGGTGAGACCGCCTTTTTAAACCTAATTGAAACTTTAAAATCTTTTCGCATCCTCGAATCCTTATTTATGTTAATCTCTTTCTTGCAGCTTCGGAGTTTTGTAAGATATTTTCTGTTGGAGTTGTTTAGTAGGCGAGAAAGCACGTTGAGACTTCTGCTTTCTCCCCTCTTATTGTAGTCAAATTCTGTCTTTTTTTTTTTCTGGAAATTTGTTTATTTTTATTTTGCGTGAAATAGCATGAAGTTCTGCCTTCCTTTCCTTTCTGGAATTTGAAGGTATAAGGATTGGTTTCCTGGAAATGATATGCTTCAACACAGTTTATTTGGTTCCAGAGCTGAAACCTGAAGTTCATGATTCCGAAATCCATCTTTCTTTTCTCTAGAACCAATTTGAAGTTTTATTGATGTTGGTGTTTTAGCAAAACCTATTGCTTTTAAACAGTTGAGTAGGTTATAGAATAAGTATGATTGGGACCAGTGGCGGATTCCGATAAATCTTTAGGGTGGGCACATATGTATTAATGACAGAAAATTTTCATATGGAGTAGGCATAAATAAATTTGAGGTGGACACCATCAGTAGAATGGACTACTAATCTAAAGAAACCCAGAGCATCCGCCACTGATTGGGACATACTTCTGTGATTGTGCTAAATTCAATATGATGAATTTTAACCATCTGTTTGGATCCTTTTAACATCATGCTATTGTGCCATTAATGTCTACATTCATATTTTAGAGATGTTGAGCTACTCAATCTAACTTGTCATATTTGGTTCATAGTTTGTTTCAGTTAAAAATATTAGTGTTGGATGGTTAAACCTCATCAAATTGAGTTTTACTTGTTTTTAATGCTTTCTATCTGAAAAGAAATGCTATAAAATCCCAATCATTTCTCATCTTGATATTCCACAAAATCCTGTGATTGTTGATTTTAGATTAATACTCAATCTGCCTCTTGTTTTTTTGTTCCTTGTTTAAGTTTGCTTGAAATTAAGTCTGCAAATTTCTTAGCGAATCTATGGTGAAGAAATTGCGTGGGCATGAATGTACGTCCTTTTGTCTTGTGATTTATCTTCCATTTAAAGTATCTATAAAGCGACTTATTTCCATGTGTTTACACAAATGACATTTCCTTTTTTCCATTTTGTGGCCTAAGGAGTGGGATGGTTTTGCAGTTTAAGACAAGATTTCATGTTCCATGGTAACATGTCATGAAAGTATAGACCCCAAGAATTGGAATCCTTCATTAGTCAAAATGAACTACATTCTACTCATATTCAGTATAGTTGTTTGCATAATTTGCTTGCCTTTCTTGGAATCATAATTTTCATGCTGAGCGATTCATCTTTCAGGTGATGGCTCCAAGTCAACCTAATACAGGCCTTTTTTATGGGCATAAACAGAGGTCATTTTGTCATCAAGAAGGAATTGGCTCCCCGTCCTTCTAATAGAAAGGGGGTAAGATTCCATATTTCAAAGTTCTGATGCAGTTGCCTTGCACTACCCCAAGTCCCAATTTATGCGAGGATATAATGGTTAGCTTATATGGTGAAGTTTTTGGCAAGTTACTTTTAGAGTGCCTTCTTTTTATCACGAATGGCGTATATATCTGCATGTTTCTCGCTGTCTCGATGGTACATCGATTTACATTATTGATATAGTCTGTGTCTCTGTTGTAGAAAACCAGCAAGAGAGTGCACTTTGTAAGGAGTCTAATAAGGGAAGTTGCTGGCTTTGCACCGTATGAGAAGAGGATAACCGAACTTCTCAAGGTCGGAAAAGATAAGCGGGCATAGAAGGTGGCCAAGAGAAAGCTAGGCACTCACAAGAGGGCCAAGAAGAAGCGTGAAGAGATGTCAAGTGTTCTCCGCAAGATGAGGTAATGATAATAGAGTAATTTATGAGTGTTTAGGCTGTTGAACAGTTTCTCGTGTATTTACTACGTTCACAGGTCAGCTGGAGGTGCAGAGAAGAAGAAGTGAACTTTTTTCTGTTTCTTTTATTTTCAATTGATCTTTGTTTAGAGAGCTTTGTAATTTGCTCACACTTCAGAGCTAAAAATTGAGGATGTTGGCGTTTTAGATAGCAAAACTCTAATTACAAGTAGGGGCTTAAACTAAATATTTATTTTCTCAAGTTTCTTTGAGTTGTCGAATTAGAGCAATCATTGGTTGGTTTAAATATGCATTTGATACCTAAATTAGGCACTTTCTCCTGAGTTGGCACTTAAAAAAATTACTTCCAAGTTATCATTCTTATTTCAATTTCATCTATTGTTTTGATATTTTTATTAATGATGCAACTTTTGATACGATGTATGAATTTGAAGGATTAAAATAATTATTTTATTATGTAACATCATTAGTTTTGTTAACGTTAACTTAAGTCTTATCAAGTTAACAGTCAAGTGATCAAAATAGATATTAAATACAATTTTAAAAATAAATGATTTGGTGATGAAAACAGAAATATAATAATAGTCAAATATGATAAATAGAAGTTTAATGTTAGATATAATTTTAAAATTAAGAAATTTAATGTTAGATATAATTTTAAAATTAAATGATTTGATGAAAAAATTATAAATATAAAATTATTTGGTATATTAGTTGGAGGGTAGTTGAGGGTTAAAAAGCCGAAATTAAGTACACGTTTTTTTAAGCTAATGCCTAATATTATTCATGTTTCGGTATCTTAAGAAGTCAAAAAGATTATTTGAATAAATTACAATGTGCTCATTGGGTGGATCCCATTACATGACTTTTGTCGGTCAACAATCGATTATACTAATAAATTTATTAATATGACTAGAAGTTTCCAATAATTAGTTCCGCTCTACCTATAGCTTGCATTAAGGGTAAAGTACACAAATGATACTCTCACTATAGGATATATTTTATTGAGTCCCCGATTATAAGATGTTGTTTTGTTGATTTCCTTTACTATTAAAAGTTACAAAATAGTTATTTGACTATTCATTATATTCCAAATTCTTTCTCCTCCACTAAAAGATTGACGACAACTTGAGCTAAATTTTAATTTGTTGTTTGCGATATAATAATCATTTGAGATTCTGTGATTAAATTTTATCATATCTCAGACAGTACATTAATATCCAGATTAGAATGTCATCAAGTTTTTTAAAGAAGAAAACGAATTTGAAACATAATGAATAGTTGGGTGATCATTTTGTAACTTTTAATAATCGAGAGACTCAACAAAGTAACATCCTATAATTAAGAGATAATTTTATAACTTTTAATAGTCACGAGACTTAATAAAGTTATACCTTATAGTCAATGTATCATTTATTTACTTTACCCTTGAATTAAATATCACTAAAAATATTAAGATATTCCGTTCTAAATGTAATAAAAGGGTCTCGAAGAAAAACAGATGCATTCAAGGGATCAAATGAAAGTTTTCCATTTTCATAGCATTAGAAACACGTGGGGTTTTACGATATATAAATTATGCTGTATATAACCGCAAACATTTGATCCCCATCTGGCAATTCTTATTCCTCGCACTCCACTCATTTCGGTTTCTGTTTTCGGCCTCACGCGGTTAAGCCCTTACCGGTATGAACACCGAAGCAGGTGAATATTTCTAATTTCGGTTCTTTCAGTTAATTCCCGGAATTACCTCGATAACCGGAAAATGCTGGAAATGTTCTTTTCTTCGAACATTCGGTTTAGTCTTCCACCTCTAAATTATGCTCCAAGTTTCTCCAAACTGTGTGAAATATTTTTGTTTTTCTTTGAATTTTGCAGTGATCGAGTTTTTAGGCAACGTTCCGTTGCTGCAGAGATTGCCGAGTTCGTCGTTCAGGATAATAGCTGAAGTCGTTCATTTTAAGCACTATGGTAATTTGTGAAGTTCTGATCCAAATTCAGTTTAGTGGAATATTTGCGATTTGATTTTTTTCATTTGACCCGCGTGACTGCGCCTGTTTTCCTGTGATTTGCTTTGTGTACTACCAAACAGAATCTTTCATCGGGTTAAATCAATCTACAATGAAATATGTTAGAACTGATTATATATTGGATTTGCTTAAAATAATTTGCGTTGCAGAGAAAGGAGACTATGTTGTTAGGGAAGGAGAAGTTGGAGACGGAACATATTTTGTATGGGAAGGAGAGGTCTGTTTTCCTTTTTCCCAATTCCTATTTACTTGCATTGTATTCCTTCCGTTTGGTTGTTTATTTATTTATTTTTCTTTTCATCATTCAAATATGCGTGCAATATATATATATATTGACGAAGGGAAATAGCTAAAATAGGTAACTTCTTAAACAAATAAGCACTGTTTGTTTTTAGAAACAAAAATCTAAACCAAATAGTCCTTTTTGCTGAGCTTCAATTTCGTGGTTTATAGGCTGAAGTATCTGGATCAGTCCATGCTGAAGAAGAAAACCGACTTGAATATCAGTTGAAAAGATATGATTACTTTGGCCATGGTAAAAGCTTTTCTATCTTCTCTTCATGTGATATTTTTGCGATATTTGAGTATTGGCCTGTTTTAATGTAGAATTTCTTTTTGCGTGTGTGTATTCATGTCTGTGAATACTCCTATATTAATAAGGGCTTAAAAATCAATTAGTGATGGAGAAATTAATCCTAAATCGAATATGATTGTGCTTGCTTTTGCAGTTAATTCGACATCAACTCACGTAGCAGATATAGTCGCTTTAACTAAGGTATATCTATGTGCTTTTTAGTTCCCTTTTGCATACTTTACTTGATTAGATCATCCCAACTACTCGCTTATAAAAATGACTCGGTCATACTACCTGTAACTACAGCTGACCTGCCTGTTTCTACCTCATGAGCATTGCACTTTGCTTCAGTCACAATCTATCTGGAGTACAAATAAGACGCATGAGACCTGTGCACTTGTGGAAAGTATATTGCATTTGGAGCCTATAGAAGTATGCTTCTTCTAGTGCCATTTTCTTTTATCTATTCTATTGCCATTCGGAAGAGTGAGAAGTTTTACAGTTCATGTTTTCTTGGTATACTTTTAATTTTGACGTTTGTCTTTCCTTTAAGAAACATTTTATAGTGTCGGAAATGATCTAACTAGATTCTTATTATAGATTATTCTTATAACCTCTATACTTACACTTTGTCTTCTGTTTTATTGAAGTTAAATATATTCCAAGGGATTACTTTGCCAGATGCACCTAAATTTGGTAAGGTTTTTGGAGGACAGTTCATCGGACAGGTATTTTTAAACATCTTTCTCTCCTTTATCCATCTTGTCTAACTGAGGTTACTCACATTTACCATATATGATAACATAAATTAGTATGCTTCCTCCTTATTTGTGTGTGTGCTTGATGCGTTCCGTACGATAGACAATGATATTTCAATTTTCAACACAATTGTTTTAGGTTAAATGATGGATAGTATGTTTTTCATGATTCGTACAAATGATCTAAAATTGCTGGCACTCAAACACCAGGCATCTTGAGTGTTCACCAAATGGTAAATATAGTATGCTGTGGCTCGTTAGTTTATTAATTTATTTATATGGATATATAACTACTTAAATATAGAGGTTGTTATTAATACTGTGATAGTTTCAGCACATAATCTAAGAGAAGAGAAAAGAAAATATAAAGAAACTTTGCTCATTTCATAATATGCGAGTATGGTGATTGCTTCTGATTTGTCAACATTAAGTGATTTAATTAACTTGATGGACTTGTAGTTGTTGTCTTAGTTGCTTCCTGTTGATTATCATGCTGTTTAAACTGAGGTAATTTCATTTTTTTTCTCGTCATTAATTATTCAGGCACTGGCTGCTGCATCAAAAACGGTCGATTCTCTCAAAATTGTTCATAGTTTGCACTCTTATTTTCTTATGGTTGGGGATTTTAATAGTAAGTGCCTTATCTGTGAGCATTATTGCAGTAAATGGATCCATTATACTTTTTTGGTTTTTGGAAATTTCCTACTGTTGATTTGTTTACAGTTTAACTAAATTTTTGCATGACACTATAATCCCATATTTTCAATCTTCATAGCTCTTAACAGTTTGAAAATGTACAATCTAGTAAATTTCATTCTTCATTCTCTATCTTCCTGTCATTTGGAAGGATAACCTGAGAGATGCAAAAATTGGTGCCATGTACAAGTAGATAGAAAAAAATATTAAACACGTTACCTTCTTTCATTTCTTAAAATGAAAAAAACTTGCAGTAAGCTGGATAAACAATTTTGTTTCGCATTTAGCCTCCAAAAGATATCAATTCGACCCTGTTGCTTAAAAATTTGTCTTAGAAATTATGGTGGGGGTGAAATAATCGATCATGCTGTTCTAGCTATGAGTAAAGTTTTTTAACATCCTTCATATCAAGAAAAACTAGTACCATGAATAAATCATAGCTTTTACATTGTTTTTGCTTATTGAATTTTGCATGTTAAATCACTGATTCATCTTGAGATTATAATTAGCGGTTCAAGTGAAATTTTTCGCAATAACAAATATTTATATCTTTACGTACTTTTTTTACAGTACCTATAACATATCAAGTTAATCGTCTACGCAATGGTAGAAACTTTACTACCCGTAGAGTAGATGCAATACAAAAGGGAAACATCATATTCACATTATTAGCCTCCTTTCAGGTATGAAGCATCTTCCTCGTTTTATATTCAAAGGCTCCCATCTGCTTTCGTAATTCTTCTATTCTTGACTCAATTAGTTTTTCATATGAGCTTGAGTGTTAAACAAATATTGACAGGAAGGCATAACTGTTATATTATTGTATCTGTGAAGAACTATCATGGTCTGCTTTTTCATCTTCATGGAAGTCACTTTCTGTTATACTCTGTAGAATGATATCAATGGGATAAAATGGTATGAGGGGAGGTTTTAAATAATGTTAAGTATAAGTAGATATGCTCAGCAGTTCTAATTATGTTCTTTTATGAAGGTCCCGATATTGCTTATTCTGTTCTTTTACCAATGCATTAGAACACGAGTTGAATTTTCCCTTTTTAACTTGTTAATAATCCAATTATGTTATCTATAAAAGTTACGTGAAGAAGATACTACATTTTTAGGTGCAGAGGTACTTGTTTGCTAATGATGAAATGTACTACAATATGTTATCCAGCAGCCTTTTCTCCGTTTATTATACCTTTGCATAGTGCTTGGTTGGTGTGCAATAGTATCTGGGTCTCGTTTTAGTAAACTTCCTGATCTGTTGTAAAATGTGCTCACATGGTAACTGCTGAATGAGTGGTAGTAGCATCTCAGATTACTTGTACTTTTGCATGTGTTGATCTTACAGAAAGAAGAAGAAGGGTTTGATCATCAAGAAGCAATGATGCCATGTGTGCCAGCTCCAGAAGGGGTAACTAGCATATGTTGTCTAACATATCCAGTCATTTGGTGTGCTGAATAATTGGATAGCATGATTACTTTTTGACCTATTGCAGCTTCTGTCATTGGATGAGATACGAGAATCACGTCTCACTGATCCCCGTCTTCCTATGTAAGAATTTTAGCACTCACAGTGATACTGCATTTTATTTAAATATGTAATTTTCCATGGTTCGAAACTTCAATATGATTTGAAATACATTTGTTTCGTAACTCGTTTTAATCTATACTTTTACTTGATTACTTCTTTGTTTTGTTGTAAAGTTGACATCCACCTAAAAAAAAACTGGGACAAAAACCGTATCTGATGGCCTTATATTTATGTCTTTGGATAGTGTGCTTTTTGTTAGTTTTGCCGTGTTATGTGCAATGCCTCACAATCTTTTGTTTCAGGAGTTACCGGAAAAAGGTGGCCACAACAAAATTTGTTCCTTGGCCGATAGAGATAAGGTTTTGTGAACCTAACACTAAAACAAACCAGAATAAATCTGAACCAAGGTTAGGCATTTTTTTTTGGTGTTTCATAACCTTAGCTTTTTCAGTTGGAGATACAAATGTTATATATTCATATTCATTAACCAATGTAGCTGTCACATTATCATTTTTCAGTTCAGTGTTATATCATATTTGAGAATGATATTTTCCTTTACAGTTTGAGATATTGGTTTAGAGCCAAAGGCAAACTTTCAGATGACCAAGCTTTGCATAGGTGAGTTATCCCTTTAAATGCTAATATTTATGTTTTTTTCTATACATATACCTTTCTACTTTTGCTCTGCTCAAGACTTGCTAAAATTCTCGGAACCTTTTCTGCATATAATGTAAGCTTACTTGAGGTTGTTCTGTCCGCGGTCATGTGGGCACACGCATGCACTCTACTTCCCCATCTTACAAGAGAACTATAAGCAGATCAGGCTTTTTTTTTTTGATTCCATATTTTGCAGATGTGTGGTGGCCTTTGCTTCAGATCTGATTTTTAGTAGTGTTAGTTTGAACCCACAGCGCAGAAAAGGTTTTATGTCAGCTTCCCTTAGCCTGGACCACTCGTAAGCATCTGCTGTAATCTTCGTAATATTGATTATTCTTTTCGTCTGTGGCTCACCTATTCCACAACCCAAAGTTTATTCTCTCTTGCTTGCGTCTATATTTAGAAAATTTATGCATATACGACATTGTTTACTCTTTTGTTCGTGTTTACCAGGATGTGGTTTCACAGGCAACTTAGGGCTGACGACTGGTTATTGTTCGTGGTAGGTTTAAGATGAAGTCTATTCTCAATTATGTAAATGTTTGATTGTTTTCACTTCCTTAATGAAAGAAAATGGTTAATAGAATCAATGTCACGCAGATTTTAAGTCCTACATCCTGTGTCACCCGTGGCTTTGTTTCGGGCCAAATGTTCAACAGAAAGGGAGAGGTAATTAGTTTACCCTTTCTTAATCTCGTTCCTTTTCCACCAAATATCATCATACTTGTTTATCTTGAATTGCAGCTCGTTGTGTCACTGACACAAGAAGCGTTGCTTAGGTTGGCTAGTCTCCCAAATCCGTCGACTGGCTCTAAACTTTAAACTGCATTGTAATATTTTGATATTTGGCAATGTGTTAAGCTTTGTGGTTAAACTTTAAGACCTTTTTGCCTTGAGACTCTTCCGACATAGAAAAGTGCCCCCTCAGGTAAATGTTATTTCCAACAGCAACAAGCTTGTAGGTGGTCTTGTAATGGCCGCCCACTCCTAATATACTTGCATCATTAACCAAGACATCGTGATTCTGGCAGGGCTCACAGCTGGCCTTATTCCTCGAAAGGCCTTGGTAGTCATTCAGGCACCATCCCTCCCTCAGAATGGTTACTCAGCGTAACCATAGAATACAATCAATTTTTCTTCTTTAAGTGCCCCCAGCCAAAAACGAAGAAGATCGTATATGAAGAAGTCACAAAATCAACAGAAAATTTCACGAAACTCATATCAAACCCACATTTAAACGTGAAAAAAAATTAACTTTCTACAATGAACAATAAAATATAAGAGAGATTTTTTATATTCGTGTTTCGGTTTAAGAAACATTCAGGATTTTAAACTTGAAGAGAATAAACAATGGCAACATTTTAATGAAGATATAGTTGAAAAGACGGTGGTGGTCGGATAAGTATGAGAAATAGTAGTAGAGAGTAGATGAAGATAACGGCAACGGTTTGGGTTTGTGCTAAATCAAACAGTAGAGTATGAAATAATTTTTACTTTTAATGATTTTAATTGAAATTGGACGATAACCCCATTACATTTGACTCGTATAAAGGACAGAGTTCTACAAACTAGGGTGCACAAAAAATTCGAATATCCGATTTTACGAAAAAATATCCGAAACCGGATTTGGGAAAAACCGGTTTTTTTAACCGGATCGGATTTTTTTTAAACCGGTTATTTTAACCGGTTTGGAGAAAAAAACCTAGACCGGTTTTTTTACCGGATAAAAAACCGGTTTGAAAAAAACCGGTTTTTATCCGGAAAAAAAACCGGTCTGGGTTTAAAAAACTAGCCGTTAATATAGCCGTTGGGAGGGTTTTGTGACCGTTTTTGACCGTTTTTTTCTTTAAAAAATTACCATTTTACCACCCTAAACATGTATAAATAGGTTGGGGATGTATTTGGTTGATTACAAATTTCTCAAATCTTATTACACAACACTTAAACATCTCTCAAATCTTACTTTTGTAATTTTTTGTTCATCATGAGTAACACGGCTAAATCTTCCGTCGGGGGGAAACCTTGAAGTCGTGAGAGTGATCGAACACACTCGAAACAAAGACATTTGGGATCACTACGATTTATGTGAGATGTCAAATGGCTCGAGGAGGGCGCGTTGTAAACTTTGTCTAAAGTTTCTTGCATCGGAAGGAAACACAACGTTGAAGAACCATTTGACAAAATCATGCAAGGCACTTCGCTCAAGATCAGATCCTAGTCAATCGAATCTTACACCGCAAGGTGGTGTTTTTGTTTACGACAACGAAAAATTACGAGAAGCGTTTACAAAGTTCGTGATTACAAAAGCATTGCCGTTCGACCACTTTGATGATGAAGATTTCACGATAACAATTCAACAACTAATGCAACCACGTTATACTCAAGTAAGTCGTACTACCCTTAGAAGAGATGCTATAAAAATGTGGCGTACGGCGAGGGAAAAAATGATTTTAGGATTCCAAGAACACCGTTATGGTGTGTCGCTTACATGTGACGTTTGGAGTTCCCCTCATAATACCGGAAATTTTTTTTAGCCGTTACGTCACATTGGTTAGATCAAGATAATTGGCAAATGATGAAAAGAACAATCGCGTTTGAATTATTCGGTGAGCCGCATACCGGTGCTAATTTATTTACACTTTTAAAAAGGGTAATTTGTCTTTATAAATTAGAAAATAAAGTTTTTTCTATATCCTTTGATAATGCATCGAATAATACAAACGCGGTTCCAAGATTGAAAATATTACTTTCACCGATTTTAGACGGTGCGTTTTTTCATACCCGTTGCGTTGCACACATAATTAATTTATCCGTGCAAGCCGGTTTGGAGGTTATTGAGCCGATTAGATTAGAATTTAAAACAATGATAAAATCGGTTCTTTGTAACAACAACAAAAGACTAAATGATTATAAACGATTTTGTAAGTCCGTTAATAAAAAAGCTTTGGGTCCTAATTTGGATTGTCCAACTCGTTGGAACTCAACTTAGATGATGATGCATACTGCCTTAAGGCAAAGGGAAACATTGCAAACATTTCACGATCGGCTTTTCGAGAGGGGTCATGTCCCAAACATTTATCCGGATTCGAGTTGGGAAACTATAGCCAAAATAACCGATTTGCTTGAGGTTTTTAAAAATGCAACAACTTTTTTATCCGGTGTTTATTACCCTACTAGCCCGTTGGTTCTTAATCAAATATTTTTGTTGGCTACCTGACTAAATGACTTTGAATTTGAAACCGAAGTTTTTCAAGAAATTGGCTTTGCAATGAAGGAAAAACTTTTAAAATATTTTAAGGAGATTCCCCCCATTTTACTTGTGCCGCCGCTTTAAACCCAACGTTAAATGTTGGTGGGGTTGAAACACTAATTGAACAAATTGCGTTTGCTTTTAATCTAACCGATGATGAACCCAACTTTGTCCAAAACCAAATAAATTATTTTAACAAATGTTTTCGAGACATGTTTGCAATTTATTTAACTAAATACGGATCAAGTAGTGTAATACACGATCAAATGAGAATGAATGCGGAATCATCTAGTAGACGTCCAAGTAACATAAATTTGAATCTTTTTAACACTCTTGTAAATTCCCAATCCAAACGATCACGTACTACCACCCCAAGTAGCGAGTTGGGAAATTACATGTCATGCGATTTTCTATCAAAAATGACATTTGAAGAGTTTGAAAGTTTAGATATTTTGGCTTGGTGGAAAGAAAAGGAAGCACAATTTCCGATTCTAGCCGCCATGGCCCGTGATTTACTAACCGTCCAAGCTTCTACGGTAGCTTCGGAATCCGCTTTTTCTGTTAGTGGCAGGGTTATATCGCAACGGAGATCAAGACTAAGTCCCGAGTCAGTGGAAGTATGCATTTGTTTAAAGGATTATTTGGATGGAGCGGCTCGTAAGCAACATATCACCACCTAGAAGATGCAATTGATACCGATTTGGAAGCAAACTTACACATTGAAGAAGTCGAACTTGGAATATCCCCTCCAAACGAAGAAGGCGAAGATGATGAAGAAGAGATGGCAATGTAGTTTATTTTATAACTTTATTTCAATTATCGTAAACTTTGTTTCAATTATCGAACTTGAAGTTTTTAAGTATTTGAATTTATCGAACTTGGAAGTTTTTAAGTATTTGAATTTATCAAACTTGTAAGTATTTAAGTATTTCAATTATGTTGAGTTAATTAAGTATTTCAATTAAGTATTTGAATTTATCGAACTTGAGGTTTGATGCTTTCTCTTTGATTCTCTCTTGATTCTAGTTGCTTGATGTTTCTTGTCTTTGATCAATGGCTTCTAAGCTTGCTTAAATACACCTTGAATCACTTCTGAACGTTAGTGATAATTAATGAAGATAATATAGCCGTTTAAGTGTGAAAACATTTAATAAAAATGCTTGGAGCGTGGGGGAATCGGTACCCTCTCATAGGGAATCAGTTTCCTCTCATAGGGAATCGGTTCCCTAAGTGTAAAATTCAAATATTTCGACCGTTGAATAGGGGGGAATCGGTACCCCCTATGGGGGAATCGGTTCCCTCCGAGCATTCTGAAAATCTCGGAGCCAAACCATTCAGTGAGAAATCGGTACCCCCTTGGGGGGGAATCGATTCCCTATGAGCAATCTGAAATATTAAAATCGATTTTTTTATAACCGGTTTTTTAAAAAAATCGGTTTTTTTAAAAACCGAAACCGGTTACACCGGTTAGGATATCCGGCCCCCCAAACCGGTTAAAAACCGAACCGATTATTTTATAAACCGGTTTTTTTTCTATGAGAAAAAACCGGATCAAATAAAAACCGATCCGGATCGGATTAAAATCCGACAAATGTTCATCTCTACTACAAACTAGCAGCTCAGCTAACTAACACTGAGCCAACTAATGAACAATCTACCAACAGCTAAGAGATCAATAATTCGGTTGCTTTAACATTCTCCCTGCTTTTTTTTTTTTACTTTGAATTTCTTGTAAATAAAAACACATCCAATTAACAACCTTACTATCAGATTAACCACCGTTTATTATCTAATATTCACCATACTATTATCAACAGCACTGTCAACATTTCACGGACCGTCACGTACTTATATAGCCCATTTTACACGTAACCGATTAAATATTAGTTCTTAAATTTAATTTTGGGTAAAGTTATAAATAATCTCTAAATTTTTAGGATATTTATATTTTGATCACTCAACTTGTAAAACTTACAATGTAAATACCAAATTTTTAATTCGTTCTCAATAAAATCATGCCATTAACTCGTTAATTTTCACTAACGTGACACTTAATTACCGTTAATCCCTCCTCCTCCTCCTCCTCCAAAGTAAATCTCTTGCAAAAGTAAACATATCAATCGGAAACAAATGTAGAAAACGAACAGAAATCTCTTTGTAATCCTCACACCTCTAGTCCGCAAGCTCCCACTCGGGAGCCTCATTGGCGCAATCTAAATCCCGGTTAAATTAGAAGGAACAACTCCATCGTAGGGCACTCCTGTTTTAGGGCGCACAAATACCCTATAAGGTAGTCTTGGAGAAGGGCATCAAGGGCTCTAGCGGCGGCGCTCGTTGAAGATGGATTAGCGTTGAAAGACTGAGCCAGTAGAGCCGAAAACAAGAAAAATAAGCAGAGAAACGGAACAAGCATGGCGTTAAAACTCATTCACAAAGCAACTGTGTAGGTCATTGAAGCAAATGAAGGGGTGTGAGCTTTTGAGAGAAACAGAGATCCACAGTTGAAAAAGGAGAGGAAAGGGTAACTTAGGGTTCATTTTTTGTAAACGTTGAACTTCAACTTGTAGAAGAAGCCATGAAAGCAAGAAAGAAATACACAAAAGAAAGAAGAAGAAAATACTGGAAATGGTATCAATATTAGTATCAGCAAGAATCCTTAAAATTGATTGAAATATAACACCAAATCTAAATCATAAATATGGGAAATTGAAGGAGAAAATAAACAGAGATTTAGACAAAAATTTTCAATTTTTTTTTGAAGAAACACTATACTGCCTGCTTATATAAATGCAATGCACACAGTGACAGACACAAGAGTAGAACAAAGGCCAAAGAGAAGAGAGGGTTTATTTTAAGGGTAAAGTATAAATGCAAGAAGGGCTTCTCGGAGATGAAAGGGCGTGGAGTAACCAAGGAGTAG